TAATACTTGCCCATGATGGCAAGAGTATTTGATTAGGTACAGTAACTCTCCACTATCGGATGGTCCAGTATCCTGGCAACTTAACTTAACCTTGCATGTAGCTTCAGGCCCAGAATACCTAGAACAGCTGATGCACAGCCTCAGCACTAAAACCATGCACTTGCCCCACAGTAAAGGCAGTGAGTCTTCACTGACATCTTAATTCTCTTATTGACATGCTTTTTTTCTCTCTTCAGTTTTACTGGCACATAATCCACACCATACAATTTAATCAATCAGGTCAATAAGAATTGTACAATTAAAAAAAAGAATTGTACAATCACTACCATAATCAATTTTCTTCCCTCCCCCATGAGTAAATCACCTTTAACATGAGTTGTGTAATCATTCATTTCTAGTATTCTCTCCCCTCCCCGCCTTCACTGTTTACTCTCGAAATCCCCACGGCCTCCCCATCTCCCTTCTTAACCACCCTACAAACCCTTGTATCAGCTATTATCTCCATGCATCCACTTTTTCTGTGCTTCATAAGCTGCTAAACCCAACAGAAACAATAAAGCAAAAAATGAAGTGGTCAGGATAAAACCATGGTAATATAAAGACAAAAACACCACAATGAGCAGGAAAGAAAAGACCTCAATCAATATTTTAAAAGCCAGGATCAAGCAAGAGATCCTTGCACCTAGAACAAATTCAGGTTGGGTCTAGCTAGAGGGAGGTCAACTGGCTAAGTATCAAGTTTTATCCAGCCCAATCAGGATGACAATGATCTATGTTTGAGAGTGAGGCTGTTCCAGATCTTTGCCTGTGGGTAGAGGGGATCTGCCAGTGGCTTAATCTGACTAGATACTCTGCAGATAGGTTTGGGGTTCCCACCGTCCTCCACAGCCCTCCACAAATTGGGGATTCAAAAATTAAACTCTGACACTTTTCCCTTCATCGTATTTTACTTTTGTACTTGTTGTCTTTGGAGGCATCTGTCTTCCCAGAAAATTAGGAAAGAGGGTGATGGGCTGGCACAAAGACAATGCTAAGAAATAAAGTGAAAAACTAAACATCAGGCACAGAATTGTGTAAAGTACAAGATGTTCACATCTTTGCATAATCAAAAGAAGCTTTAAACTATACTTAATATCTTCAGCTTAAAAAAGTAAAATATATAAAGATTTTTATAAATAAAATGAACAATTCTTACAAAGTGGTTCTGAAAATAGTTTTATAGTACAAAAAGCTTTAGTTGCTTAGAAAAATGAGGAATCACCTCCACGCAAGAACACTTTGTTCTAACAACCTGGCATTCTCGATGCTCACCCTCCCAGCATGATCGCTGAAGGCAAAACAGGCGCAAAAGCAAATGTGGTCAAGAAAGGGATGGTGCAGGGCTACCAAAAGATATAGCATCTGGGGTCTTAAAGGCTTGACGTTATACCAGCAGCCATCTAGCAGAGAAGCAACAAGCCCCATGGAAGAAGCACACCAGCCTGTGTGATCAAGAGGTGTCCACGGAATTAGGTAACAGGCATCAGAAGACCCAAAACAAATAAACAAAACCATATGTTGAAAATGAGGGGGATCAGAGCAGAGACCCAAAACCCATCTGTAGACAATGGGACATCCCCTCACAGAAGGATCACAAAGGGTTGAGTCAACCAGGCTAAAGTATAGCACCGATGAAACACACAGTATTCCCCTGGTTCCTTGAGGCTTCCTCACCCCCGACTATCATGACCCTGGTCCTGCCTTTCACTGCGGGCTAGACCAGGGCTTGTACACAGGAACTCAGGAGACACGGAATCCAGGAACAAGAATGGAGTAGCGATACCAGGAGGGTAGGGGAAAGGTGGGAGAGGAGGGGAGGACAGGGTGGGGGGACCGATTGAGATGATGGAAACATACCAACCCCCCACCCACCAAACAGGGGGACAAACAACAGAAACCTTGGGGGAAGGGAGAAAGTAGTGGGTATAAGATATGAAAATAATAATTTATAATTTATCAAAGGATCACAAGGGGGGAGGAGGGATAAAAGAGGAGTTGATACCAAGGGCTCAACAGAAACTAAATGTTTAGAAAATAATGATGGCAACATATATACAAATATGCTTGTTACAATTGATGTACAGATTGTTATAAGAGCTATAAGAGCCCCCAATAAAATGATCTTTTAATTAAAATAAAATAATAAAACCAGCCACAGAAAAAGAAAAATGAGGAATCACTTTACTTTGCGAAATAAAGAGGGGCTAGAATGCATTTCTTACCTAAGATTGGCTCTGAAGAGAACACTTCAATACAATGTCAACCAAGTGAACAGTAGATCATATCTTGAGTCATGGAATAGCTTTGATATAAATTTGATAACATTAAGTAATGGAACACAAATTGCAATGTATTTGTTAAGAGTGTATGCCTTTAACTGTCACAGATAAACTTTAGCATATGTGAGTCCAGTTAAGTACTTTTCAAATAGAGATCTGTTTATAATCAAAGTACAGAAATATAATTTCTCTCACAATGACCGCAACACTCCAGCCTTGAATAAAACACTGTGATGCAATATTACAAAAGACAGGACCATTGAGAATCATTTAAGAAACATATTAGGAGACAAGATTTAATTTCCAATGCTATTAATATGGCTAGTCGATCTTTTATACTCCTGATAGTCCTATAATTGTTTTCCATCTGTAAAACAGAAATCATGTGTCTTACACTACTAAAGCGATCCCTTGGTAGAGCACACAGCTCATACTGCTTGCTATTATTCAAAGGTTGGAGGTTCAAGGCCATCCAGAGTTTCCTTGGAAGAAAGGCCTGAGAATCTACTTTCACAAAATCAGCTATAGAAAAGCCAATGGAGCACAGATCTGCTCTGCCATGAGTAGAACTAAGAGTCACAACGGACTCAACAACTGATTTTATACTTCTCTGAGACTGTTCAAAACAAGACACGTGTTATCAAGTTGATTCTAACTCACGAAGACCCCATGTGCAGCAGAGAAGAACCACTCCAAAGGGTTTCTCGGCTATAATCTCTAAGAAGCAAATCGCCAGGCCTATTTTCAACCTCCAAATTTCGGTTCAGAAATGTGTGCAAACCACCACCCTGAGCCTTCAAGGGCTGTTAGGTACCTGTATATTTATAGTGTAATGTGATTTACTAGCATAAAACAGGAAACTCATAAAAAAAACCTTGAGATTTAATACAAATTTGTGTTCAAGTCAAAGTGTACAAAATGCTTAGAAACGGCTTCCATTTCTAGAATTAAAATACAGCATATATATATTTATCTCAGTAAAATGAATCTGCTCAGTTTTTATAAGCCAGCTTATTTGGTACATAGGTTTGTACTTCTTTGCTTATTCTTATAGTTAAACAAATAAAAAAATTACAAGTAGCTATAAATATAAAAGAAAACAAACCATGCAAAGTAAAGCTAGCATGCAAGATCATTATTGGCAAACAAAATAGAACAGCTATCAGGTGATTAGTCCTCTGTGGAATATTACCAGAGAATATTTACCCTAAAGGTAACGCAAATAAACCTATTAATTTTGTTCTGAGAGCTTAAGTGACATACAATCAGCATTTAAGAAACCACATAAAATCAGGATGACAAATCTAGTTTCTCTCCATATAGATATTTTTATTTTCTAAATCTTGATGCAAGTGGAATAAATACCCTTTTTTGTCTAGCTTCTTTCACTGAGCATAATTATTCTGAGTTTCTTCCATACTGTATCACATGCAATAGTTTAGCTTAATTAGTAAAACAAGGTCAGCCTTGAACATTCTGATCTTGTAAGAAATACCGCAATAGAATCAAATTGATAGGAGTAAATTCTGCAGCTTAGATAGGAAGCTGAGGGGGCACTGAGTTGATGTTCCTGGAGGAGGAGACATTCTGAAAAGCAGGGTAAGAATTGGTTACATAACTTGAGGAGTATAGTCGGTGCCACCAAATTGTTCATTGGGAAACTGTTGAACTGCTGTATGCTTTGCTGTCTCATCTTCTCAACAACAAAATCAATAAAACTTAAAAGGGAAAAAAAAGAATAGGTATGAAACATTTTACGAATGGTAAAAACATGATTCTGCAAAAAAAAAAAAAAGATGATTGCGATATTAGCTATTATTATTATACAGACTGCAGGACTAACTAAATTAGAGTCAACAATTGTATTTCAAAGACTCCTCCCAGGCTCAGGAAGGATACCACTAACATAACTGTCTTTATCTCAGAACCACCCAGATAAAGTGCTGGCCCCGAGGTTGCATCACAGAATTTGTGCCCTCCCAATCGCAGAGATCAAGGCCATTTCCCCGCTGACATAATTCTGGTTTATTACAACAATGCCGTAAGGAACTTCTGAGGTAGAGCGCCAGCTGCGTGCCACCACGGGGGCATCTGTTTGTTTTCTTCTGTAACATTCTCAGAATAAAGGCCCTTCGGTGAGGCCATCTATTGCCTGGACCCCCTTCTGCGCTGCTTCTGCTGAGAGCGGGTTCCTTCACTTTTCACTCAGATTTGCCTCCGTTTCTCTTATGCTTCTCTTTTCGAGGTGAAGCTTGGTTTTCACAACCAGCACCAATGCGAGTGCTTCTGTCTGGAGGATCCGTGTCAAGCAGAGTGATCCCGTGACGTTAAAGGTGACCTTTACATTCTCCTATTCTTGTTGGTAGTATTCGTTATTAGCCAGTAATCAGGATTCACAACTTCAACTCCTGAGACAGTGCTTCTACGAATACTGAAAGTTTCCAGAAAGTAGACCTCCAGATAAATGAAGTAATTTAATGTATGTTTTTAGCATGCTAATTGGTCTAAAGATCATTTTGCACCAAAAGGATCTCTTCCATATTCCAATTTGGGGCTTTTAAATAAATACTCAACTCAAGGCCTAAGAGTTATTAAAAGGCAAACATCACTTTTCATGGAGACCCAAAGACAAAAGTACAGCAGTCATTAATTTGGCAGAAGAGATGAAGACATTTACAGTACCTTTCAGAGCTTCCGTCTCTATGTCTACTAATGGCTTCCCCACATAGGCAATCTCATCTAGATTATAATATAGTTTTTTAATGACTCCATCATAACGACTAGTGATGGTAACAGAAGCTTTATCACTTTGAACTTCACAGATGCTATCAAACTGAGACACTGTATCTCCTTCTTTTACATACCTAAAGGAAAAAGACATAAGATACTTGTTCATGAAAAATGTTACTCACAGACCATCCTAGCATGGTAAATGCCATGTTGACGTACACTAATGTTCAGCTATCCCACCATTTAGTACCAGAAGGGGCACCAAAGAACATTTTATAGATGATTTTAATAGCTTACACAGTCTCTTTGGATGTACCTCTAAGATTGTACTTAAAATTCTTTTTATATATATATAATAATATATATATAAAATATTTATATAAATATTTATATAAATATAAAATACAAGATTTTGATTAAGCTTTCAGATTTTCTGCCTGACCTATTCTTGGGAAGAGATTCTAAAAACAGTGTTTAAATGGTATTGCTTTTTGTTGTCTAAAAACTAGCCATTATTTCTAGACATGAGTAAAAAACTTGATGTTCCTAATCCTCATCCTTATCTTGAGTTAATGAAATTTGGGTATGAGTTTTTTCATGCTTTCTTTCAAGAATTAGTGTTGTTTGTTCTAGTGTAGGTTGCCACGAGTTGGCAGTGAGTTACTAGAGTGAAGCTGTCCTCACCTATGAGCCCTTCTGCCCCATCATCAGATGCCCTTTACGAGGCTCCCCTAGAGTTCCTTAGTGAATGAAACGAGAAAAATGGGACCAAATGTGAAATACTACATATCACTGATTCTAATACCATTCTCGATGTGTCTGACACCTATCTGACTTATTTCCACCAATTCTCCATGAAGAAACTTTTTACAATTCCTGTCATTATTCCCGTTTTCAGTAAATGATAAAACATTACCAGTGACGCTGAAACTAGGTTTAAAAGCACTGGTAGAGGATGTTCACTTTTGGAATGGCAGATGAAGGACCTTAAAAAAAAACCTGTTTCTCCATAAAAGCAATGAGGAAACTGGCAAAAATTGGCAGAAGCAATGTTTTCAAAATTCTAGAAGTTGAGGGGAGAGAGAGAGACCTGCTAACAATCTAAGGCATACATACGAAATGCCATAGAATCTCATTAAAAAGAGCAGTCTGTGTGTTTTAACTATTCCTTCCTCCCTTTCCCCGGCTGAGCGGTAGCAGTCTCTACCCACACTGGCTGGGAAAACCATGATTCTGTCCCTGGAAGGTTGGGTAGATCACATTTGGAATTCCTAGAAAAGTCCCTCCACAGAGACGTGCCATTATTTGACGTGTCTGGCAGCTCTCCGGAACAAGCTGAACGAGACCAGGGCAAGACGATCCTTGAATGAGACAGAAGAGATCGCCCTGGTTCACCCAGAATTGACACAACAGATGTTTAAAGAGAATAACTTGACAGGAAAACATCTGTCCTGCAAGATGAAGACTCCTTGTTTTATGTTGTTTTATACTTAGTAATGTTATAAAACCATCAATATAATTGAATCAATTCTTTAAAGGAGTTAGTTTTGTGTGGGTTAATTTGGAAAATATATCATGAATAAACTGTGAATATGTGTACGGAGGCTATACACTCCGTTTTAAGTAAGTAAAACTCCCAAAATAGAAAAATGAAACAATTTAAAGTTCATTGAATATTTCTGGGGAGAAATCTAATTTCCAGAGTTGTCATATTATTTAAAAAGTCCAGTTTCCAACAAAAACTTCTAAGATGTGTAAAGAAAGAAGAAAGCATGTCTCACCCGGAGAAAACCGTCACTAGGCGACGTCACTGTAGGAGCTGGGCATCCTACGCAGAGGGGAAGACCGCCTCGGAGGCTTACTCCTCATCGCAGTGACACTGAGGAGTCAGAACTCAATGGAACTGCCTTGGTTTTCCAGGTCTTGCACATTTTCTGCCTTTGACAGGGTGCAGTCTTACCATTATCTGCAATATGAACACTGGAACTTGACAAGACTGCAATGTCTTTTGGGTCTTGTGATATTTCCACGTTTGACAGGGTGCAGCTTAATATTTTTAAATTGCTTGTAATTAATTAAAAGTATTTGGGTTTTCCTTCTCTGAAAAGTTTCTGCCTTACACAAGTTCCAGCTTTCTCAGCTGGAGAAAGCTGTATAACTGTATAACTATACGCATGAATTAAAGGAAACCCCATCTAAAGAATTACAGAAAGTTTATAAAAATGATGCTTCACCAAATCCAGTGGCCATCTAGTCAATTTCAACTCATATAATTGTATAAGACAGAGTACAATTAGGGTTTCCACAACCATAAATCTTTATGAGCATAAACACTCCGTTATCTTTCTTCCGTCTAGTGGGTGGTGGGTGTAAACCTCCAACTTTCCAAATAGCAGTTACTAATCCTATCACTTCTCCCACAGCACCACCTGGACTCCTTGTTTACCAAAGAGAGAATATCAATTAAAGAGGTAGAAACAGAAACGTATAATGGAATTAAAAACTAAGATAATTGAAAATTTAAAAAATTTACTGAAGGGAATCAACACCAGATTCTAGCAGGTAAGAAAAAAAAAATCAGTGAATTTCAAGATAGAACAACAGAGATTATAATCTGTCTGAGAGAAAGAAAGAAACAAGAATGAGAATGAACAAAATCTCAGAGGCCCGTGGAGCACCATCAAGTGTACTAACATATGCATGATGGGAGCCCCAGAAAGAAAGGAGAGAAAGGGGCAGAAAGAATATGAAGAACTAATGGCCAAACACTTCCCAAACTTGATGAGAAACAATGTACACATCACATATCAACAGCTTAGTGAAGTCTTAATAGGATAAACTCAAAAGAGATCCACCCCAGATACATCATAATCAAACTGTTGAAAAATCAAGGCAACGGGTAACTCTTGAAAGTAAGTATCATGGCAACGTTTAACATAGATGGGATTGTCAATGAAGTAGAAGAGCTAATTTCTCATTAGAAATCATGGAGACTAGCTGACAGTGGAGTGAAACAGTCAGTGTAGAAAGAAAAATGCCACTAAGAACCTATATCTAATAAAACTCTTTTGAAAATGAAAAAGAAATTAATAGATGTCCAGATAAAGTTGAGTGAATTCTTCACTAGGAGACCTACTTTACAAGAAATATTAAAAGAAGTCCTTTAGGATAAAACAAAAGGACACAATAATAATTCAAATCCAATGAATTGAAAAATACCAGTAAAGGCAACTACTGGGTAAATGTAAAAAAACCCAAACATGTAAATACATATGTTTGTAGCTCTTTAGAAAGAATTCTGATTTATTAAACAATTGCATAAGGTTCTGTTTATAAAACTGTTGGTGAGCTTATAATGTTTAAAGAGGAGCATAGAATGTATTATAATAGAGAAAAGTATGCTGAAATTAAGCTAGTGCTAACGGAAAAGTGGGTGAGGGACAGCAGAGGATGATGTAAGATATGAAAAAAATAATCT